GTCAAACTATGTAAACTATGATAAAGTTTCTAGACAAATATGTTAACATATACAATAAAAAATCAATACAATTAGATTCATTATTGAATATACTTTCACATCATATAGATTTGTTATTGTAAATGTTCATATTTTTTCCTATAAACTTGGTCAAACTCTAAAATGACATAATATGCTTAAGAAATGACATATTTTAGCTCCTAAATGACTTCACATGCTTAGCTAGCTCCAAAATGACATAATAACCTTACTTAGCTCTAGAATGACCTTAGCATGTTTTACACCAAAATGACTTAGTATGCTTAGCTAGCTCAAAAATGACATAAGAACCATACTTAGCTCCAAAATGACCTATTTTATAGATATAAGTTGCATCATAATAATCTTCACATTTTAGTTGCATCATAATAATCTTCTTCTTCTAGACTTCTTCTTCTAACTTTCTTCTTTCCCATTTTACAGATTTGCTTAAGATCACGTAAGCTTGGGTTGATGGAGTGCTTGTATTTAGTTTTTGTTTTGACCTTGTGAAACTTGCTACCTATGGATGAAACTGTGTAATATTGATGAAACTATGTATATGTACGGATGAAACTTGCTACTATTGGTAACATGTGTTGGATATATATGTGTTCATGACTATTGGTAATATGTGTTGAATATGCTATATTGGTCATATAAATATATTTGTGTTTGATTTTCTATGAAAATGAATTGATATAAGAAAAAACAAAATTAAATAGGGCATTATAGTCACTTTGCCATCTGCTGGCAGATAGCAAAGTATGCCGTTAGCCATCTAACGGGGCTAACCCCGTTAAGAGGCTTTGCCATCTGCCAGCTGATGGCAAAGGCACAGGCTCTTTGCCATCAGCCAGCAGACGGCAAAGAAGCCTTTACCGGCAGGGTTTCAGACAAACTGTTTACCATCTGCTGGCAGATGGCAAAGCCTTTGCCATCCGCCGACCATGCCTTTGCCATCTGCCAGCTGATGGCAAAGGCACAGGCTCTTTGCCATCAGCCAGCAGACGGCAAAGAAGCCTTTACCGGCAGGGTTTCAGACAAACTGTTTACCATCTGCTGGCAGATGGCAAAGCCTTTGCCATCCGCCGACCATGCCTTTGCCATCTGCCATGGCAGATGGCAAAGTGCCAGATTCCAGTAGTGAAAGAGTGTTAGGCATCACTTAAGTCTTCTTGTCTGTGTGATCTGAAGACTTATTACACTTGAGGACTGTGAATCCTCCAGCCGGTTAGGCGTCGCGTTCTGAGCATCCAAGAGTCATTGTGGATCGCCGGTGAACGAAGTCTATGAAGGTTTGGAAGTTTACCTTGAAGACTTACCAGAGTGATTGAGCAAGGTCTGTGTGACCTTAGCTCAAGGGGAATACAGAGAGGACTAAGTGTTCTGAGCTGTGTGCTCAGGACTAAGTGTCCGAGACTGAGTGTCCTCAGGTTTAAATACCTATCCGCCCTAACCAGACGTACAACTATCACAGCAGTTGGAACTGGTCTACCAAACCTTTGTCTTCGTCACGCACACTGGTTCTATCCTTCTCATCTCTTTATTTACAGTTGGCTCTTGTAAAGTCAGTACCTATTTGCTTTATCTATTTGTCTTCACTGTGTACCTGATCCTTACTGCCTGGCTACTATTAGTCAGTGTGGTTTCACTTCATTGAATGCTTGACTATTGTCTGTCTAGTGTAGTCTATCTTCCGCTGCATGGAAATAGGTTCATTTCTATCATTTGTCTTCGAAACTTCCATGTTTTGAAGACTTTCATAAAAATCGCCTATTCACCCCCCTCTAGTCGATATAACACACTTTCAGGTCTAATGGATGGGTAAGCATCATCGTTGTCCCTACTACATCCTCTCCTTTATCATCTCGGTCAACTGCTCCCGAACCACCCAAATCGCTCTCAAAGTAGGAGGAATCTATATTCAACTTGTAGCTCTTGGAGGTTTCTTCCTTATCATTTCATGTGGTTTAGAAGATCTTGTTCTGATGTTGAACTTTAACGGTATTGCATGAATCGTAAAAGTAGAACTCGGAGCTGGTGCAACATACTCGCACTTGACAGCCTGGCGCCACTGCCACGAGATAAAGAAAGCCTGACTGCGACCGTCTCCTTCAAGTGCTTCATACCTAGGATTGGTGACTTTCCACAACCCCGGATCAGTTCCTCAAGGGTGACCGATCCCGATTTGTCAACAACAAGTGCTTTGTCAATGATCTCCCAAAGACCCAAAGAACACCACGCTTCTTTTGCTCACTGGCACGTAAACATTAGATGTCGCATATCCTCAGCCCCTCCCATACAGATCGGACATTGGGGGTTAACCTACTCAAATGTAACACCCCCATTAAGCTTTACTGAATAATTTGCAGTTGTGACACATCTCATAATCATCGAAATCCATCCCTGGGCAAAGCCAAAGGGTGCCAACATAAAATAGGGCTTCCTTTAGTTTATTGGATAGTAATATCACATTAATAGGGAAGTTATAGGAAATAAAATAACATGTATCTCAAATGCTATAATAAAAGAGATGTTATTTGGTTCATAAGATATGATTTTTTTCCACTACATTTGAGTAGTATTCTTGTTTCCTCAATTTTTCATTCAGTTCGCAAGACACCATATTGTTTTGTAAAATTTATATGAGTAAGTTTCAACTCGATGCCTATTTGCGTGGGTTTTTTCGATTTATTTTTGAAACTTGGAAATATTTTATCGCAAATACAAAAAAGCTTTGAGTATCATTTCATTGCTAAAAGAGTTAGGGTACAATAAGTACATAAGGCATCACACAAGCATGTGTGACTGCCAGCACTAAAAGAACAAAGGGGTGCGCGGCCCCGAAAAACAATCGCCTACATTCGGGGGTCAGATGTGCTAGTCCTAAAGCTCCCGAACGAACCCAAGAGCAAGCTTCCTCCTTGATGATTCGGATCAGCCACTATGATGAAGACGTAGCCATTGTGGTGCTTACAAATGCGCCATGAAGTAAGGATGAGGAGGGTGGCAAGTCCGGGTCGAAGACAAGTGAGCACGCCAAGAACAGTAGATGAGAGCCAGTCTAAGAAGTCATTGTCGTGGCGGGGAAGGGTTGCAGTGGATCGGCACCATAGGGAGCACCAGAGAAAAGTTGGAAATATATATTTGGCTAAGTTTCAGAGCGTGGATACGCTGAAACTCAAGATCATCCTAGTGTTTTGTCGTTGGGATGAACCATAGTCCTTGGTGAAAAAAAGCATAGGCCTTAGTGAGATTTAAAGTTTTCTCACATCAAAGAATGCAAGGTAATGATGAATCTAATTTTCTATTAAAAAGAGCAAAAAAATCCAAACAACCTTGCACATGTGTATCCACCGCACACCATAGACAAACTGGCTCTAGGAAGGGAGCACAAAAAGTATGCATGATTAGATTTCATGGAGGACTGGTGGGGAACGAACTTGGCAAAATTATAACAGGCTATGGGCAATACGAGACTTTAAAATATGAGAAATTTGAAAAAATATTCTCAAAAGAAAGATAACATCGTAAGAATCAACAAATGTCATGATCAATGGCATGGGCAAGAATTTAAGAATCAATCTGAATCTGCATTCGCAAGATTCTTCAGCTCTACGCTTCCTGGAGTGCTTTCTTGCAGGCTTCAGCTTCCTTCCCTCCTTGAGCTTAACCTTCTTTATCGCCACATGTTCTCCCAATTGGGATGCGCCTCGAACTTCATCTAACAATGAATCAATGTGAAGGGCTTGCTCTCCATTCTATAGTACATCGTGGTTGCACGTCCGGGCTATACAATGACGTGATCATCAAGTTGCAACATTGAGTGAATAAATAAATTGACCAACACCTGGAGAAATAAGAAGCAAAACTTACGATCTCCATGATTGACGCTTCTAGTGGCTACCTTGTCTCCACTTGTACAATCGCACTTCAAAACTTTATGATGGAGTTTGAAATGGTATGCAACCGATGGAGTAGCAACTTCGCACTGCGATCGTTTATCACATCCAAATGTCGCGGGGTGCTTGTACTCATGAAACCAAAAATGCACATGTTGTCAAATTTTGGTACCTGTTTTCTTCATGCCTACAAACCCCGCGCTTGTGGCCAACCACGCGTCGCACAACAATGCGTCCTCCCTCACAGAGTAACCCCGACATCATGCTTACTCCATGTTAAACAAGGAGAAAGTCAAAAAAATCTCAATAGCATTTGACCGAACACTTGTCAGGTGTGGTGTCCGCCATGAACAGCGTCGGAAGGGGGCGCACAATACCTGGACACGAACGGGTAAGGGGATGCAAAGATGGCAAAGTACAAGGCACCTAGGTGGAGCAGCGGTGGTCCGACTAGAACTGGGCGGCGGCCAAAGTAGATCAAGGGGGGGAAGGGACTGAGGCTGTGTTTGGTTCAGCTTTTTTTACCAACTTCTGCTTTGAAAAGCCAAAAGCTAACCAAATGGGTAAATGTTCAAAGCAGCTTTTGAGAATCTGTAGCTTCTTCCTAGTGTAAATTTCAAAGCTGGAGGTACCCCAACTTTTCAGCTTCCAGCTTTTTCACAGCAGCTTTTCCACAGCGGCTTTTTCACAGCAGCTTTTTTAGAATCTGCAGCTCAACCAAACACAGCCTGAGTGGAGGAAAAGAGCTCCGAGATGGGGTTTTGTGTGGGACAGGTGTTCGGTGTTCTACAGGGCGGCTGTCTGGACTCTCTCAAATGCCAGCTTTACTTCCAGTTTGATGAAATCCGGATGTGTGGATTGCTCCATTAACATTTGAGGACGGCGTTGAACCGCTCAACGTGTCTCGACGTTTACGAGCGATTTGAGGACGGCATTGGAATGACCTCCTTGGCTTCCTCAACAACTTCCCTTGACACACGGGCCGTTCTCAGATCATGTTCTCGTTTTGATTAAACCTTCATTCAGTAGGTCAAACTCCTTCGTATTAGAAAAATACTTTGCCATGTGCACCAACTCTTAGCTGAGCCTCCCAGCACCGAACAACCCAGAAAATATCTTGCCTTCACATGGAAGGCTCATGGAAGCTGCCTAACATATGAATATACAAATCCGCTACACTAAATGTCTCATCTTGCGTTTGAACAGACTAACCAGCAAATTACTAGTGTTTGGTCTACGTATGTTATATGGTCCAAGGCCGGTTCAGCCAATGCGACAACAAGAGGACAAAATAAACACCCGCTCGTTCTCAGATTACCTGCACGCGAGCACAGCTCTTCATCAAACGCCAAATAACAGAAACTGTCGCATACACGAACCGGTGACTAATTCGATGACTGTTCTGGAACAAAAGAAATAAAGATTTGCAGCAGCAAAATGACTGTCCTGGAACTAGCACGACAGACAGCAACATCTTCACACAGATTCTCGAGCTGTCACTTATTTGCATCACAAAAGCAAAACAGAGCACCGATTACCGATCAGCTCAGATTTGATCCAAGATCACCTCAGCACCAGAAACCTTGAAGTCAGAAGGGGCTTTCTCAACGTTGAATGCCTTGATCTTCCCATCATCGACAAAGGCCGACCACCTAAAATGGTACAGGTCAAAAAAACATCTTTCAATCAGTTACCAATACACCAGTTTATATCATCATGAACAGTAAGTACTTCCACCACCATTCTACTCATGAGAGGAAGTGATCCGATCAGTGATGTGATGCTCAAGAATGGATATGTAGCACTCTTTAGCAACGAAGAGAAACATAACATCTCACCGCATGGTGGATCAGCACTTCAACAAAATTCTCACTACAAAGAGGTCAAACAGCTGGATGCTGCTAAAGCATGTTCCATTTCTTTTCTTTTGTGGGCATGCTGAAGCATGTTCTAGTTTGCAAGAACCAAACAAATACTCCCTCCGTTCATAAATTGAATTAAAACCACGCCACTTATTTATGAACGGAGGTAATAGATAACGAGAAGTAAGTTGAATACACAAGAGTGTGGATTAGGTAGGAGGGCAACATCTATCGCCAAGTTGACATTGCAATTTGTTCGCTCTCTTCCGCTATGAGATTAGAACTGGAAGAATTGGTTGGGAAGAGAAACTAAAATAAAGTCCATGATTTTGAGTTGGAGTCACATACTTATATTTATAATTTGCATTTCTGCAAAAGTGTTATTTTCATATTAGGGTAGCAGTGTATTTTTTTTATTTGGGACAGGTACACAAAGTAAAAGTAACATTTGTTTATTTATGTCTCTTGGAAGGTTGCTAGTCCCATATGTGGATAGAATTGCATTTGTTTCTTTGTGTGGTCCCACATATGTACTCATCACCAACTCCAACCCCATCACTACAAAAGTAGGAAAGATAATATAGCTATAGCAAGTTATGCTCCAAAAAGGTGTGGAAGTGATTCACCTAAGGGTGTCCTAATTCGCGAGTAGTTATTTGTTGGGATTGGCAGCCATGCAAATTTTAATTGTTGGATTTTCTAGTCATGACAGTTCAACAGTGCTGGACAAGAGTAAATTAACAATTCTCAATGTCATGCTGAGGCTATCCTATCATCAAACCATTCAAAATCCAGCATCTCCCATCGCTAGATGGGTGCTCACTAATTCACTAATGCCATCGACACTAACAAAAACAAGAAAAAAAATGACAGTCGATGCTACCTGACTTAAGACAAGCTACCAAATACTGAAAAATATCTCCCAGAAATAGCTTAAAATCCTTTCGCAGCATGTATAGTTCTAAATTTAATCCCATGATATCAAGCACCAATATATCCAATTCTGTAAACAAAGGCATAACTTACAAAACTACAGAACCACTAACCTAAAGCTCAGCAGTAAGAGAGGTTGCACTGCACGCCACATAAACTAAAGAAGAGTTCTAAGTAGCTGACATCATTTACATCATGGCTTAATTGATTTTAAAGAATATTAGAAGAGTCGGCAGAAGTATAATTACCTGTGGGAGCGTCGACCAAGCAAAGCAGCAGAGAGATCTATTTCCAAATCCAAGCTTTTGTGGAAGCTCCCGTCAAGGTCACCATAAAACTCAATCTGATAATAGTATTCCAGAATCATGGCAGATGGTTAAAATAAATGTTCGCATGATCTTGATTCTTGAAAATGTCTAACATAGCATCCAACCGCATGGGCTAGAAATCTCAGAACATCTATGTGCAATAACTATCTAGGCTGGTATCCATACAATTCTAACACATTTCTGACCCTCATTACCATAAAATACAGATTGAAATCATTCAGCAGAACATATGAAAGTTAGACTAAAAAAAAACATGTGAGTTGAATTTGCACTCATAAAGTGGCTCGCAAATGATTTTGTGCACGACTGTTATGGATCATTTACTATGACTGACAGGTAGTAGGGAGGGCGTATGGTAACATGAAGAATGCGTTATGGAGGAAAACCAAAACAGGACTGCCAAACTTGAAGGAATATAGTCCTATCTCATGACTCAGTTGACAATACTTCGATATGCAGTTATGCACACTACAATGCCTGTATGCCATTCCGTTATTCTGTGCTAAATCAAAATTGTATTCCATAAACAAAATTGAGAGTAGTTACTCACTGCATCTTTTGCCTGTAATTTTTCTGCCCATCCATTCAGCACATAGGGATCATTTACAGCTACACAGATAACAGAGTCGATCCCTTTTGCTTTCAACTTATCAATGTTGTTCTTGTAACTAGGAACGTGGGACTGCGAACATACTCCTGTGTATGCACCCTGAAATATATCACAAAGATAGCTGTCAACTATATGAGCAATTAATCATACCAGGAGAGAGTGAGTCTACAATATAGTTATCAAGGAAAAGGCGGAACACGGAACCATCATGGAGCAAGCATACAATCCTAGTGGATGCAGCCAGAAATCATCGTTTAGGGATACAGAGTTATCAATGAATTTGAACGATTGGCACTAAAATGCCATTCAGCACAAAGCGCAAGCACACTAATTCGCAGTCCAACAATAATGTTTCAGCATTCATTTTTCCTGATCTAGCCAATGGCCTGCCTACCTATTCACAGTTTCTCATACTTCTAGGGCCAGTTCTTTTGGGCGGCTTAAAAAATAAGTTGTCTCTTCCCAGCTTAAAAAAATAAGCCGCTCATAAATTTTGTTGAGACTTCTGAATTAGTTATCCCGTAACTAGTTTAAAAGCCCCAATTAATAAGAGATGCTGTTTATGGGATAAGCTGGGGAGGAAGCGGCTTATATTTTAATTTGCCAAAAGAACTGGCCCCTACTGCGAATGGAGCATGCAAGAACTCAATCCATAACCGCCTGATGCTAATTCTGGACTAGTACCAACTAGTGTGAAAAAAATCCCCGCTGAGACTCATTAGGGTTTCGAAACGGCCGAGTATACAGGAACCGAAGCTAGGCGAGGGCAGTGAGCTAGAGAGAGCTTACCGGCAACCCGAAGATGACGACTTTCTTCCCCTGCAAGCAAGCAGACACAAAGAAACAGGAAGGGATCAGACGACAGGGCGCGGTGGGAGGAAACAGAGGCGGGAGTATAGGGAGCGTGGTACATGGAAGATGTCCTTGAGAGGGGTGGTGGAGAACTTGGTGGCGACCCCCTCGTCCCAGGACCGCGCCTTCTGCAGCGACACGCCGGGCGCCGCGGAGACGATGTCGGAGCCGACCGACGCGAATCCCCTGGCCGCGGCCCACAGCGCCGCCGCAGGGGATCCTCCCGCCCTCCTCGCCAGTGCTGCCATCGCCACAGAAGGTTGGGAGTGGGTATTGTTGTCTTGGATCGGGTTTCGCTGGCGAGCGGCGCTTGAGAGTTGAGACGGCGCACGGCTGGGAGCTGCCGAATAAGTTTTTTTACCGGTGACGGGATGTACCGGTGGAGAATCAGCCATCCATGTAATTTTAGGGATTCGTGCAGCTATTTGAGGTATAGAACAAGTTAATGCAATACAAAAAGAATATATGTGGGCCCTTTGTATGTCTTTCCAATTTTTGTCAGGAGAGAGATGACGTGTTAAGCGAAGCACCGCTTTTCATCATTGCATGCATGTTAAAATATTATATCTCCACATACACTGAACATGCATTTTATTTTCATTCTCAGATCTTTAACTATTCATATCTTTTGAACCAAAAGTTCATTATTAAAACTTTTTATATATTTGAACTCGTGGTGTGAAGACCTTGAGAATAAGATCGATTTTGGATATATTTGAACTATATTTTTTGTATATATTTCAATTATCTGCGAAATCAGTTTCATAAAACATCAAAAGGTTTCACTATTTCATATAAGTGTTATATATGGTTTCAAAGAAATTCACAAACTGGAATACGGAACTTACAAACTAACTTCACTCATTTGATTTCACTCGTTTTGAATAACTCATTGCAGTTCTTTAAATAAACCGATTTCACTCAATTGAAAAAACAAATTCGCTCACTTCATAAAATAGATTTTGCTCATTTCAAAAATTATATTCACTCATTTCAAGAAACAATTTCAATCATTCAAACAATGATTTCAGTTATTTCATAAAATTGGTTTCACTCAATTCGAAAAACCTATTTCACTTAATTCAGAAAAAATGTATTTCACTAATTTGAAAAGGCACATTTCACTCCTTTGAGAAATTTATTTTTCATGAGTTAAAAAAAGGTTTCACTCATTACAAAAACAATTGGTTCATGTATCTTAAATAAACTGATTTCACTTATTTGAAATAACCGATTTCACTCAATTTAGGGAAAAAATTCACACAATTAAGAAAACAAGTTTTAGCCGTTTCAAAATACAGATTTCACTCAGAAAAAACATATTTTGGAAAAGTGAGTTTGTCCATTTAAAAACACATATTTCACTTGTATCAAATAAATAGTTTCAAAACTTTGAAATAACAAGTTTCACGTATTTCACACTCGAATATCTATCATGTGTATGAAAAAAAGATTTCACTCATTTCAAGAAAATAATTTCACTTGTTATAGAAAGGTTATTTCACTTATTTCAAAATAACTATCATTTTTAACAATTTCACTCGTTTAAAAACTGGATTTCACTGAATTCTGAAATAATTTCACTTATTTCAATACACGGATTTTTAACATAGTTCTGACAACATAAATTTGTTTGAAACGGCAAAATTGAAACTAGTTTAAATGCATTGAAAATGGTCTTGTTCGAAAGGTCTCGTCGCTAGGAATTCAAATATATAAAAAGTTTAAAAAAAATTGTAGCTTAAAATATATGAATGATTGAAATTATGTAAAGAGAAATAAAAGGACATGAATTTAGTGAGGGAGAGATGAGAGCAATTGTGCCCGTGTCATGCATGCTGCGGAGGAGAGATAATATGTGCATGCATGCGTGGATGGGATGGAAGGGACCATTGATTTGAGTTAAGTGCTGAGATACAAAGATGAGGTTGAACAATACATAGCTATACTTATGGAGTAGGACCAAAACTGCGCGGATCTTAAAGGCACTGTGTGATGGATGCTGTGGCGGTACATCCCGCCACCGGTAAAAAAGACTTTGCGTGGGAGCTGCCTGCTCAGCTAAAAACTCGGTAGGCGTTTGGTAGCCCTGCACCGTGGTTGCGTTACTTGCGTATAAAGGGAATATTTTGGTTTGTATGGTATTTGCTTGTTCAGATTGCATCACATTCCGCATGCTGTTTAAATTACTCCCGGATAGCGTCTCTTCTAGCAGATCTCTTAAGGTTCGGTAGGACTAGTCAATGTGCGAACGTTAATTTGAAAGTATATTAAATGCATGCGGATATTAAGTAGTATATTATTTACGTGTTATTATGTGATTAGTACTATATTTGGTATGAAACTAATTGCACGCTAAATGTGTTGAACGCTCCACATTGAAGCAGTCTAGGTCGTTCGATTGACATGATTTGATGACCGAGATTAATTGGATCTGTCCATTTAAATTTTTTTATATTGGTATAGATATAGATATAGATGTAGATGTATGATGATAAAAGTTTTTTCAATTTGACTCACTTTTGCTTGTTTGGTAGGGTGCATGGCTTCACCTGGGCTATACCTATCTGATGTAAAAAAGGGGCCGCGGTCATGCCCATCTTCATGCAACCCAAAGAGGGTGCATGGAGACAGCCATGCTCGCCGTGACCCTCGTCCTCACTCACCAGACCACGTCCAGTCCAGCGGTCCAGGTATGTTTACTTTTTAAAAAATGTTCATAATTTCAAATTTTGTTTGAATTTTCAAAAAATATTCAGAATTTCAAAAATTATATAAATTTTTGAAAAAGTTCAGAATTTAAAATTTTGTTTAAATTTTCGAAGATGTTCAGAATTTCAAAAATTGTTTAAATTTTCAAAAATGTTCAGAATTTCAAATTTTGTTTCAATTTAAAAAAAAATCAGAATTTCAAATTTTGTTTAAATTATAAAAAATGTTTAGAATTTCAAAACTTTGTTTAAATTTTGACATTTTGTTTAAATTTCTCAAAAATGTTCCGAATCTAAAAATCTGTTTAAATTTTCAAAAAATGTTCAAAATCTCAAATTTTGTTTAAATTTTCAGAAAAAATTCAAATTTTAAAAATATGTTCAAATTTTCAAAAATTGCTCAGAATCTCAAATTTTATTTAAATTTTATAAAATATTTCATTTTTTAAATTTTGTTCAAAGTTTCAATAAAAGTTCAAAATTCTAAAATATGTTTAAATTTTTGTTCACATTTTTTCAATTTTGTTCACCATTTAAAAAATTATTTGGAATTCAAAATTGTTCGGCATGTCTAAACACATGCAGGCTGCCAAACAAAGTCTCACCTCAGCATGTCTCAATGCATACACCGCTGTCAAACAATAGCGAATGCCTGGACTCAGTATGTCTACACTCAGCATGTATCAGGGGAGAACAACTATGCTAGGCTCATACATGCTACCAAACACACCCTTAAAAGCTCATGGCCCCGTTAATTCAGGCGGATATATAGGATGTGGGAAAAAACGGCCCGTCCAAATACCGTAAACTGCCCACGTTTTCGCTATATATACCGAAGCGGACGCGATTTAGGGTTCGCATCCGATATTTCTCCTTTCCTCCTCCGCCACAAATTGCTTCCTCATTTTTGTACGAATTTACTGCTCATGAGGGTGTAGGGGCACCTGAGAGCTATTACACTTTTCTCTTCTATCATTTGGTTCTACTATCAACTGCGATGACCATGCCAATAACTTGATATATACCACACTGGACAAAGCACCGAGAAGTCGAGAACATTGTGTACAGAGAACCCTTCGAGTGATGAAAGAGGCATGTTATTCGTTCATGCCAATAAATTGTTTGGGTCATTGCTCATCTCCTTGACTATTGATCCTTAGTTTTTTTGCGGGTGGACATAATTGTTTGTGCAAGGTAACTTCATTTCTGTTTTTCTATTGCACATAATATGTTTGTTGATTGGAGAGATGATCATCTCATTACCCATCCTTTCATAAGTTATTCTTTTTCATTTGCCATAGTCACTCTTATAGTCTTATTCTTAGGAGTTCCTCCTGAAGAAGTTGCCATCCTTACTTATCAACGATGGTTGTGCCTCAATGAATTTATTGGATTTTCAGTATATTCATTGTTTGTAAAAAAATGTTTGTTAACCTTGCAATTCGTTGAGGTTCAATCCTAGCATCATGGGTTGTTTACCTATATATGTCTTGCACGAATGATGAGTAACTGGACAAGTGAAGGCGATTCATGTTCTACCACTAGCCTAATACTATGCTATTCATGAGTCATGACACTCACGTTCTACACCTACTTCAAACTGGTCATCATGAGCTGAAATATGCTCGATGATAGACCAGAAGTTGTTGGGGAACGTAGTAATTTCAAAAAAATTCCAACGCACACACAGGATCATGGTGATGCATAGCAACGAGAGGGGAGAGTGTGTCCACGTACCCTCGTAGACCGAAAGCGGAAGCGTTAGCACAACGCGGTTGATGTAGTCGTATGTCTTCACGATCCGACCGATCCAAGTACCGAACGCACGGCACCTCCGAGTTCTGCACACGTTCAACTCGATGACGTCCCGCGAGCTCCGATCCAGCAAAGCTTCACGGGAGAGTTTCGTAATCACGACGGCGTGGTGATGGTGGTGGTGACGCTACCGACGCAGGGCTTCGCCTAAGCACCGCTACGATATGATCGAGGTGGATTATGGTGGAGGGGGCACCGCACACTGTTGGGGAACGTTGCAAAAAACAAAAAATTTCCTACGGTTTCACCAAGATCCATCTATGAGTTCATCTAACAACGAGTGATCGGATGCATCTACATACCTTTGTAGATCGCGAGCGGAAGTGTTCAAAGAACGGAGATGAGGGAGTCGTACTCGACGTGATCCAAATCACCGGAGATCCTAGCGCCGAACGGACGGCACCTCCGCGTTCAACACACGTACGGTCAGCGTGACGTCTCCTTCTTCTTGATCTAGCAAGGGGCAAGGAGAGGTTAAGGAAGATGGCTCCAGCAGCAGCACGACGGCGTGGTGGTGATGGAGCTGCAGTACTCCGGCAGGGCTTCGCCAAGCTCTATGGAGGAGGAGGATGTGTTGGAGAGGGAGAGGGAGGCACCAAAGGCAAAGTTAAGAGGTCCTCCATCCCCCCCACTATATATAGGGGGGCCTAGGGGGGGCGCCGGCCCTAGGAGATGCAATCTCCTAGGGGGGCGGCGGCCAAGGGGTGGGGGGCTTGCCCCCC